CAAGATGTTAGTCAAGTCCTGCATACTGCAAAACACTTTTATCCATTACAATCCATACTTTCTGATCCAACAAATCTAAAATGATACAAAGGCAAATACTAGTTTCTGATACATGCACAGCCTCTGCAATAAACTGACAAAAGCTGACAATGTGCTGCATGTGGCACTGTGAGAAAGTGATGGGAGAGCTGGTAAAGTCAGGGATGAGTTGCATCAGCTTCACAAGGGGCGGTGCTAAATGCAACTAAAATCAATTGGCACATCCAAACCCGACAAATACGTGTCTGGCTCAGAGGAAAAGCCTGAGAAAAAGGTATCGGTATATTGTACTAAAAAAAAAAAGGTGTACAGACAATTAAACGTTGTATGACAAAACAACTAAAAACAGGCGTTACTTCATTGACAATACTTTCACTCAAGACATGCGCACAGCTACATCGATTGACAGAAGCTTTAAAATGATGCGAGCTAAACTCTTTTTCAAATATGTGGCGCAGGAATAAAAAACGACAGCCGGTGCATGATAAAGCTTTTGTGCGACACTGGTGTGCACACTTTACCTTAATCGCCGCCATTAATTCATCCCTTTTCATATTGGGTTTTTCCGTAACTCGAATGCCATTTTCCTCCAGAATCGCCTTGCAGCGAGGATCGACATTTTCACTGATTAAAACAGTCTTGATGCAGATAGGGGCCATCTTGGGGTTTTTCTTCCGGGGTTCGCTGCTTGTTGCTGGTTGTCTGGAAACGTCGGGTGGCTGGTCCTTTCCTGAAGTGATGGACACCGTGCTTGGTCAGTTCCCTCTGCTGGTTTTGAAAGGAGTTCTGGGATTTTAAGGCGGCCCCCTTTCAAAGTTATCCCGCCCTCGTCCTGCTCTGATGTAACATATAAAAGAGGCCCTCTGGAAACCAGTTTAACAAAGTAGTGCCAGGCAGGCCATTAACAGTGGTAGAAGAAAAAACGGCTTTTGTAAAAATTGCATAGCCTATCACTTTAAGCAGGCATTCATAATGTGTATTTAGTAAACGTACAGAATGTCCTATATTCACAATACCAAAAAAACAAGTAGGCAACTCGTTATTATGCAGGGATTTGGCTCATGTCAGTGTTACAGAAAGTAGTAAAATAAGTGTAGCACAATATACAACTATTAATACCACTCATTTTTTGTAAAAATGCTCTTTTACAAGAAGAAGCCCTTTATTCAAAATCATACTTAAAGTGGACCTATCATGCTATATTTAAATGATATATTGTAGGGCCATACCTATATAAGGTATATTTATACGTTTCTGTTTTCAAAATACCAAACAGATCATGCATTTTAGCCATGCCTCATTTCGCTCTATTGGCGCGTTTCCACTACAGCGCGGAGCACGGTTTAAGAGGGCTGTGACGTCAGCGGCCCGTCTTTGGTTGCGTTTCCACTTGGCCTAGTACCGGCCGGCGGGTCCTAATTCACAGTTTTTCTGGCCTCATAAAATCGTGGGTCTAGGGCCAGAGACAACGAGGCTGAGTCGGGCTGAGTATGCTAAACTAGAGAGAGCATCGCTGGCAAGGGGGGCTACAACTACAACAAGATGGACATATTTGACCGTGATTTAATTGTAATACACGTTTCAAAATAATGCCGAAGTAACAACATACTGATACCGGTTAGTAAAAACCATGAATTAATGCTTTGTCAAGTCTGCAGACAGACGGCAGGCGAAAAACCTTTTAAAATGCGTGTTTTCTAAATGGAGATTGGCTAAGCTAACGCAGTATATGCTCCGACCGTCCACACTCACAACAACGGCCTATACAGACATAAATAAAGCAGCGACTGTATTCGCCATGACACAGGCAGTCTGTGGTTTGTACTTGTTTAACTTTTGTCTAGTTTCTGAACATATATGAGGAGCTGTGAGCTCTGAGTGCTAACAGCTAACGGCTGTGTTGTTTTTCTGGGGTTCTCATTGAAGATGACGTCACGGCTCCGCCTACACTGCGTTACTATAGATGCTACCCCAGTTCCTAAACTGTAATGGTAATGCGCCATAAAGTGAGCCAGTCCTAACGAGGCCTAGCCATACCGAGCGAGGCCGAGCGAGGCCGTGTAGTGGAAACACGCCATATGTGCTGTTTGCTGTCTACGGGTCTGATTCTGCTGACCACGCCCCCCTGCAGGAGAGGGGAGACGTGCTCTGACCAGCTGCTGGGCTGTCAGAAGAGGGGGAGAAAAAGAGATCTCCGTCCTCCGTGTTTTATTATATAGAGTCGTTATTCATTTGTTTTAAAGCTCAATAAATAATAGAGAAGACCTTTGACCGGCACTTTTCTAATTTTGTCCGGAAGATTTAAACTTTAACGGACATCTTGACCGGCGAAACAAACTGAAACTGAAACTCTGCCGCACGGTCCCCTCGTTCCTTGGAAGAGGCGGAGAGGTGGGTGTTTGTCATCTGCTGGTGGACTAACCAGAGAGAATTACAGTGCTTGCCTCGACGGGGAGGGATTGCATTGCAGCGGGAGCAAACGCTTGCCTCGGAGAGGGAGAAAAAAAGCCACAGCGGAGAATAAACAGAAGGGTATAGGCCTGGCATATGTACTACAGCGTCTCCAGCGCTTTTGAATGGCAATGGCCGTGGCTGTCTCCTCCTGATTGGTGGAGTTGGCCCAATAGCCGTAGCGCCACCGTCCTGACGTCAGGACAGTGTTCAAATCTGGATCAGTTTGTATCAGATCCGTTGCAGCCCCTTTTTTAGAGATTTGGGTATGGAGGAAAATAGAGAGGGTTGTGTTGCATGATTTTGCATGATAGGTCCCCTTTAAGTAAAATAACATAAGCATCAGCACTGCCTGAAGTAAAAGTTCCCTATACAGGCCATGCAAAAGGCCCATTTCAGAATTATACACATTACAAGTTTGTAATTGTTAATTCCTTCATGCTATACATGTTTTTATTTACCAGTAGATCAGGGGCCTCATTTATAACGCCTTGCGTAGGATTGACGTAGGAAGGTTGCTTACGTAGTACAAAGCACAAAAATAGGTACATAAATTTTCCGCCATTTTCCGATTCACAAAACGTTGCGTACCGGCGAGGGAAGTGCGTACGGCACTCCCTACGCCTGTTTCCCTTGATAAATCACAATCGACTCGTAACGCCCATATTTGCCTATACATAGTCAAAGAAACGCCCATTCATTCATTCATTTTGAATTTTGACTGCATGAAGAAGATCGCAGGAAATTACGATAGAACAGCTAAAAAAGACATCTCACACCGTGTCAGATTTTGGTTATTGTGGGGAGGTCGACATAAATCATATTGTTTAGTGGATGCAGTTTGAACCAGAGTAGCAGCATGGAGGTCGGATCGTCACAAAAATAAATAAATAAGTGGTCCGAAAAAAGTTAATGACAAAACAAATACACATAACCTTCCTCAGGCAGTGTGTTTGTCCCGGGGACAGGAGACCCCCCCCTTGATGAGAAACTAAGAAATGATCGGGGAATCCCTCCGGAGTGGAGTCATGACGACTGGATCTGAATTATTTTGTTGTATTTGGTGGTTTGTGTTCCAGCTGTCGATCAGCAACTATATATCCATAATCCACCAGTTAAAGGAAATACAACTAATGGATTGTGTTATATTAGCTGTACAATTTACCACATATGGTGTTCTTAGTTTCCATACCTCCTGTGTTTTACGAGCGACTTATCAAGTCTTGGCAAACGGCATAAAACACGATTAAACGTGATAGTATATAAAACCATGCTCGTATCTACAACCTATAGAAATGCAAAACGGCGTCAGTTTAGACGTAATTCTGTCCTCCTGCTTACCGCATCATTTATGAGGAAACATTTCATAACATTAACACAACATATTCGAGGTGGTTTTAAATAGCATATCCGTATTTATTTATTTCTCCAAGTTATGTTTTTGTGTGCACTGAGGAGTCTCAAACAGGCGTTTGTTTAATCATTTTAAGATTGGCTTTAATCAATGTTTGAAAATGAATTCTTCATATTTGATAAATGAGAGGTAACATTTTATTTATGGTATTATTTCCACATATTTCTCTCCATTCTTCCTTCTGCCAACGGTGTCGCAGTTTCTCGTCTCTCCCGTTTGTGTGCTTAGTGCGTACGCATGGGTTAGAGTTTGCGTGGAGGACCGCACATTTTCCCGTCAAGTTAGTATTTTATAAATCGCAAACATTGCGTAGAAACTGGCGTACGCCATTTTTTGAGCGTATATCCCTTTATAAATGAGGCCCCAGGTCAGTCAAGTCAATTTTTCAGTCTTAATTCAAGAGATGCTGTTCATCACATGACTCATTAAGCTGCACATGCATATGTTTGTTTGTCAGAATGTCACAGTCGTAGTAGTACATATTTTTTTAACACTAGATTTTACAAAACAGATGATTTGATTGTATGCTGATGAATCTGTATGAGTATTGGTACAGCAGTTGTTTGAGTGGGTAGGCCTACAGTATATATGTGTCATTGAATTGTGAAGGGGTGTTTCCCTGTCTCCATTACCCTGAACAGGAGAACAACAGTAAGAGCAAAGCAGTTCTGGAGTCTAGATTGAACATTAATTTGTTTGACTAATCTGCATTTACAGATGTCCTACCACTCAATTCAATTAGTAAACTGTTGAAGTCATATGTGTCAATTGTATTGTGTTTCCCGGTTATCCATGACAGCTTGAGCAAGTCATATTTTCCTAAAAATATATTTTGCATGATTTAAGTACAAAGGGGTAAACATTTTTGGCCATATTTCTATGACATTGATGTGTGTGATGTTACATGTTGGGGTCCCACAGCGCCATCTGGTGTCCATCAGCTGAAATGCTTCTGATTAGTTCAGCCGTTGCCTGGATACACCGCAACAACAAATGCGGACACTGAACCAGAGCCGTTTGTAATCTGAATGTAACACTAGCTACAGAATCATTTCAACATTCAGTGTTTTTTTGAGGTTATAGATATCGAGTACCAATGGCATCGGTGGTCCAGCACGGCCGAAGAACAGGCTCCAGTAAGAGAGGTGAGAGTTTATCTACTTTTACAAAAGGTATCTAACCTAACGCTGTCTGTCACGGCTAAAAATAAGTTTTTCAAGGAGAGAGCAGTCTTGAAATACTGACCTTAAACTCAATACAGAACATTTGGAGGGCCTTGGAGAACATGTTGTTTAGTTATATATTGCATCCATCCAAAGGCATGCCCAAACTTCTTGCCAGAAAACAACTTCCTGTAGATTGATAGAGAACTGCACAGTGCTATTTTTTGCATGCATTTATATCTCATACATGCAAGGCCTGAGCCAGGATTTTAAATCCCAGAGTGCAACCTCCCCCATGAAGCAAATAACCAACAAGACAAGCCTGTGAAATGTTATTATTGTATTTGCCCACTTATTATAACTTTAAGAGTTCTGTATTGGTCTGTGTAATAATTGCTATTTTAAAGCTGTTTTAACAATCACTTGATATATTTCTGGTAGAGAAATAGAAACACCACACAACACACCTAAATTGGGACAACATGTCATTTAGCAGCAATACATAAATAACTTGAATCAGATTATTAATTTTTACAGGGCCTACCTCATTTTCATCATCTCCATAAATAATATCATTACAACATCTGCTATTTAATTACTTGTGTAATGACAGAATGTAACTTTAACTTGGAAGAATAAATATGCATATCATTCTGGAGAAAAGCTTTTACTGGAATATGTGACTATTTTAAAGTATGAATCAGCAATGTACTCAACTATCCATACTCCACAAAGGGGATGGTGCTTGAATATAATTCTAGTTTTATTTCTACATTTGTTTTATTAGTATCTTCAGCTGAGGAACCCAGCAGGATGATCGAACCCCCAGACCTCCGACAGGTCACTGTCTTAAGCAAACGAGATTGGCAGAGGATTCAAGATGAAGTGAACCGGGTTAATAAAGACAAAGATAATATGAAGGAGGCAGCCAAACAGAGAGAGGCCCTGCATTTGCAGTCAACGGAGGTGGTGAAACTCTGGTCCAATACCATCGCTGTAAGTTTCCTGTACAGATGTTTCAAAGATTTTATTTGCTGTATTACATTTTGACCTGCTTATTATGTTGCACAGCAAAAGCACAGCCTACTACAGTAGAGAAAAAGTTCAATACACTGTATTGTTTTTTAAAGGGTCAAAGGCAAAAAAAAGTTAGAGGCAAAGAAGAACCGTGAGGAGGCTGAGGAGGAAAAAAGGAAAATGATTGATCAAGAAGAGGCCAAATTTCAGCAGCAGCAGCGTGAAGAGGCCATTGAAAAAGCCAAGAATCAGCTCTATTATGAAACCAACCGTATTAAAGGACTACACGTTAGTATCGCATGAGAAATATTGTGTCACCTGTACATGTTTGGCTATACAGTATGTTGATGTTTTGGGATAATTAATGATTGTTACCTCTTCCACAGCGTGCCCTCGTGCTGACTGAGGTGCTCAAGGAGAGGGAGGCGCAGATTGAACTGAAGCAAAAGATCAAGAGTGCCTCCAAAGCTGTCGACAAAGAACTTCTGGATCTGGAAAAGACCGATATTGATGAAGCTTTGAGACAGGAGCAGGAGAAAGCACATCGGAAAAAGCTGGAGGGACAGGCTGTGGTAGGGGACCTGAAAAACCAGTAAGTCTCACATCAGACAAATTATAGGCATTCCAAAGATATGCAAACACATGCAACATGAGAAAATGATACCTGTTCTTTAGGATGAAGGAACGTGAGCAAGTGAGAGAGCGTGAGAAGATCGAGAACAGGAAGGACGGAGAGGAAGCCCAACGCCTTTTAGAACTCCACCATTTGGAGCAAAACATGGAAGAAGAAAGACAAGCAAAGCTGAGGAGAAACCTTATGCACGGTCACCTGGTAGGGCCTTAGCTGCACAGGTCATCTAGTATTTTTATAATTTATGACACCTAATGTTTAATCTGTATATGCAGGAACACGTCGCCAACAGTGACCTCATAAGAGCAACAAATGCAAAGAAGCAGGAGGCTGAAGAGGAGCAAAGAAAACTGTTCCTCTCTTCCAGACAAAAAATTATAAAGTTACGGAAAGAAAAAGAAAAGCAATTGTTCAGGTAAGACCCGGGCAAAACATCTCAAGTGATACAGTTGCAGTTGGATCCTTTGTGTATTAAGACGTGTGACGCGTTTTTCAGTGAGGCCCAGATGCGAAGAGAGTGGACCATGAACAAGCTGACTGTCACTCAGCAGGAGAAAACTGACGACGAGGAGCAGAGGATCGCAAAGGCTGTCGCTGAGCAGGATGAAAAACTGGCACAAAGGAAGAGAGAGGAGGATGAGAAGAAGGCGGCCATGTTGGAGTCAATAACTGCACACAGGGAATTCATGGTAACACAAGTTCAGATATTGCACCTGCAAAATACTACGGTTGCATTGAAGCTCTTTATAAAGTAGTTAATACTAATAATAAGGACATATTATGCTTATTTTCAGGTTCATACATGTAACTTCGGTTTCTACCAAAACATGTTTAAATGCAGCAAATATGTCAGGACCGGCCCTACATGTAACAAAAGGTTCTCACCTGTTTCACAAACTGTGTTTCCCTAGCAAGAAAACAAGGAGCAGAAGGACAAAACAACCAAACAAAGCATGATGGGCACACTTAAGGCCATGAAAGAGGCCGACAGAATATTTGAAGAGAAACAAAAAATGAAGGCTCAGAAGATCAAAGCAGATGGAAGAAATGCACATGAGTTCAATGCTACAGAAATGGTAATGTTAAAACTATCTCCTCCACACCATTACATGATTCATAGCCCTTTTTAACATGTCCCCTTCATCCTCCAAATATAGGCTAAAAAAGGTGCCAAGCTCCAGCAGCAGAAAAAAGAGGAGCAAGAGTTTCAGGAGGACTACGCAGAGGTCATTGCTAAAGAAGAACACCTGTTTCAACAATACTCTCACGACCTCATCAACGCAGCGGCTGGGGCTCAGCGAAATGTGTTTCCTCTCTCCAAAGCGGCAGGGCAAGGGATCGGAGGAGGGCTCGGTCCTACTTCTTGCTACCTCGTTCAGGACAACACTGGGGCTCAAATGCCCAAATATGTCTCTGGTGCCACCCAGGACATTAAAAGGCTTAATGAGGCACAAAATATTCTTCAAGCCAAGATGAGACTTGGGTTCACATGGTCATAGGTCTCTACTAGCTGCCAATTCTGTTTTAAAGTTTTGAACTCAGTGATTGTTTTGATAACATCAATAAAATGTTTTTGACTGAGGCTGTGTGTGAAATCCCTCCCTACTGCTTAAGTAGACTCAATAGTGTAGTGATTGGACACTTATGATTAGCCATATTTAGTCATCAGTTTCAGCGCTACTGTCGCACGATTTTGAAATTTAGAGAAGACGCATTGCATTGTGGGATTGAAATCCAGGTGGGTGTCCAGTACATGGATGTATAATAAGAACCAGGAAGAAAGGAAAGGAAAAGGAAGGTCCAGTATAGAGTGGCGAAGTCCCTCCCCTTCCGGTGGACCTCCATGGGACCTTATTTTGGAAAAAACTATGTATTGAAGTCAATGGAGAGAGAAAGATTATCTTTCGATCCCGTTTGAATTGTGCCACGAATTACACATATGATGTTTGTCAATTTAAAAGATAATTTTGCAAGTCAAAAAAAATAAAATGTGTCGTAAAACTGTGTAGTAACACATTTGTTTGTGTGAAACGCTCAATGAACTACATCTCTGGTCAACCACACACGTCACCAAGATGGCTGTCACTACTGTCTTGTCAACAAAACGATTGACTACCCTCACTATCACCACAATGAAACACGTCCAGAAGAATGTCATGCAAAGCTGCCTGCCTGCCTTCCTTTGATTCTCTCTGAACTGCCTGGTCTTTTTCATTTCAACCATTTGTGCAGATAGCATGAAGTAGAAAAGATCGCCGATTACCAGTGCAGTAATAAAGTAATCTGTAGAAAAGCACCGTATTTAGGTCAGCCTTCATAGTAAGGCTACATTAAATGTTATAATATTCATCGTGTCCTTTCTACTGTATATGCATATATTCCTGTCTATTGCTTTCATTTGTGTTTCATGTTATTATGTTTATACTTGTTTCCACACATTTCACAATTTGGGATGAATGAAGTATCTAAATGATATCTATTTGTCTATCTATCTATCTATCTATCTATCTATCTATCTATCTATCTATCTATCTATCTATCTATCTATCTATCTGTCTGTCTGTCTGTCTATCTATCTATGATATCCATCTATGATATCCATCTATTTATCTGTCTGTCTGTCTGTCTATATCTATCCATCTATCTGTCTGGTAAGGTAAAATTAGGCCGATTAATAAAATGTGAAGTGCTTTGTAACTTTGACTGAATACACAAAAAACAATGAAGAAAGAGTTTCCTCTGGGCTGCTTCGCTGCCAGCTGCTCCCCCGGGACCCGAAGTGGGGTAGCCTGTACTTCAACATCAATGCCTACGAAAGTGCTCGATATATGCTGTATTGAACCAATAAACTAACACAAACTAACTGTATCACCATAACATGATGATGATGATGATGATGGTGATAAAGAATGCATCTAACGTTTCGCTGTTCATTATAATAAAAAAACAGAGCATTAAACAAGCCATCATGCTCTTACTTTGAAATCATGCGGAAATGTCGTCATCAGCAGGCCATCACGTGGTTTCCGAAAATAACGGAGTTACACGAGTAGATTTTAGCTGAGACCAGAGGAAAGTTTGTCTCAAAATTCCGTGTGTGTAAAAAGACGATCCACAAGCAGAAATTTGAGATCCACGAGCAGAGAGTTGAGATCCACAAGCGCATTTTTGGTCGACAAATACAAAATGGATTCACAAATGCCTGATCGAAAGTTGTAAATGTTAAAGAGATATTCACAGATCTTTTTTTTATTTGTGAACATATTTAGCGTATTTGCAGATCCGTTTTACATTTGCAAATTTATTTGTGAGTTTGCAAATCTTTTAAATGCATTTGTGGATTGTGTTTTACATTTCCAAATCACATATTTACACACAAATAATTTGTATGTTCACACAAATAATTATGAGACATATCTATGCCCATACACTGACGTCACTTCTTCTTCTTCTGCTTTGGCTTTACTGGCAGGCCACAAACCACTTCACGGCGAGTACAGTAAGGTGGCGGTATGCACCTTAAAGTTGTTTGCAATCCGCTACAAAACAAGACAAGAAGAAGAAGAAGAAAAACTTCCCGCGTATACTGTCTGTTGTTTACCTTCCGACCTCAGACATGATGGAGATGGAGTCGACTGAAGTTGTGCTGTTTGTGCTCATGTTATACAGCTTTGTAACTTCGTTAATGCGGCCTGAGCCAGAGCCTATTAGGCGTCCGACACAAATCCGGAGCCGCCACACGTCGAATGCTATAATCGCAAAGTTTCTTCAGCATCAAAGGCAGTTTAAAAGCCTTAGGAAAAGGATTGGCCGACGGAAAGCACACATGACTGCCATGTTTCACCGTAGGATGGCTGATGACGATGAGCGTTTTCACGCCCTAAGAACAGCAATGGTAAGTTCAGTAAATTATTAATACTATCTAATGTAGGATTTGTGGAGTTATGTAGAGCTAATTTGCGCCTTTGTATGTGTTCCAGATATGCAAATACTACGGGACGCGTCGTGTCCCGCGCTCTCTCTGGGTGAACAATAGAACCTCGGCCTGGTGGGAGAACGTGGTGCCAACGTACACCGATGTCCAGGCGTTGGAGGACCGGCGTGCCGTGGTGAATGAGTCGCTGCGCGGAGATCAGGTGGTGCAGTTCACCCAGGCCCAGGAAACGGAGGCCAAAATGCTCACCTCGATGGAGCGCCAGGCAGAACTGTTCCAGCAGCAGATGGAGCGCCAGCAGCACCAGGATGAAGTGTGGGCGCTGCGGCAGGATGAGCGACAAGCTGCATTTAACACTGGGTTTCTGGAAGTGCTTTCCCAGCTAGTGACAGCCAACAGGTCTTCCTCCCTTTAGTGGCCACTGTTAATGTCTGCTGCTGAGCCTATGCCTAGTTTAGGCATAGTTTAGTTAAGTTTAGTTTATTTGGTATAGTTTTTGTTAATACTGACACACGACACACAACTTTGCTCTAAGGTGTGTATGCTGCTGAGACTATCCCCACACCTGGGACAGTTTTATTTTATATTGTTATTACTGTTATCACTTTATTTTATATATAATGTTTACTGACATGTCCAACTGACACTTTATTTACATTAAAAATTGTTCTATTTCATGTTATGTCTTGAGAGTGCAATAAAGAAAACCGACATGGCGATTAAACAGATCCTGTATCTTGCTTATTTCTGACACTTTATCTTTTGTGACCTGTGTAGCATCCTATACATCACATGTAAGTGATTATTCTGATACCATCATGTTTCATCGGTTATAAACTGGCAAAGCTTTATTTGTCATTTATTTATCATCAATGTTGCAACCTTGTGGAGGAATGGCAGTGGCACATACACAAATATGATAATTTATATCATTTTAAATATTTGACCTAAACTTTTAATTCCCCCCCATTTCACACAACACAACATGGAGTCCACTATGGGCCAAACATAACATGTATGTTTCCATTTTTTATGTTTTTATTTCCAAAATGAAACCATAAAAAAACTAGGGTTGTGAATGCTAGGTTAGTATCATCATAGGGCAAAATAAAGACTGATGCACCAAATGAAACTAGGGGTAGATGGTGACTTAGTTTGAATACAGTCACGTCACATTCAAAATGGCCCATGTAAAAAGTAAAGTGCTCAAAAGCAGCTAGTTTACTATGAATTCAAGTTTACATTAAAAAGCAGAACAATTATCAATACATTTCTGAAGTTATTTACCGATTTCTACATTCCCCTCGTCTCCGTTTTCAAGATTTGTTGACAGCAGAGCCGTATAATAGAAGAGTTACGACATAAAAATTGTTCTATTTCATGTTATGTCTTGAGAGTGCAATAAAGAAAACCGACATGGCGATTAAACAGATCCTTATTTTATATTGTTATTACTGTTATTATATAGTACAACTGACACTTTATTTTATATTGACAATGTTTACTGACATGTACAACTGACACTTTAGTTACTAACATGTATGTTAGTTTTGGCTACTATTACACTATTGTAATGTTGCCTGTCTTGACTGCAAAATGAAAGAGAGAAACAAAAGCACTGTACAAATGATCAGCTTTATTGTCAATGTTTACATTTATTGTTTACAATGTACAATTTACACGCTGTTCAGATGCCTCATAAGGGCTGTGCGTGTGTCTTGCCCCCCAGCCTCGGCAATGGCTGGCGCTGGCCCATCAAGCTGGGTCGCCGGTAAGGCAGTCCATTCGTCCCTGTACTCATCATCATTACTTTCACAAAGGTTATGTAATACGCAACATGTTGCCACCTGGATTTTGATCTTGTCCATCTTGCAGTTGTTTCTTTTCATCAAGCACCGCCACCTGCCCTTCAGTCTGCCAAAAGCGTTCTCCACCACCACTCGTGCTCGGCTTGTTTTGTGATTGTACACAAGTTGCTCGGGTGTGAGCCTTCCTTGGAAAGGTTTCATCAGCCATCTTTGCAGGGTGTAGGCTGAGTCACCAAGGATATAGTAACCCACATCATGTCCACCAATATTCTTTGTTACATGAGGAAGTAGACCACCCTTATCCACAAAACTACACAGTGATGACATGCCAAACACTCTGCTATCATGCATGCTACCTGGTAAGCCAACAAAAACATTCCAAAAGAGGCCTCTCCCATCCACAACACACTGCAGGACGAGCGAGTGCCAGCCTTTGCGGTTGAAATACTCGTTGTGGTATTCCTCTGGTCTCAGAATGGGGATGTGTGATCCATCTACTGCACCTACACACTGTGGCACACCCCATCTGCGCTAAAAAAATAACGCCATCTCCTCTAACTTCTCAGCATTCGGCCATGGCATGAACTCACAAAGGAGTATGCTCACAACAGAGGAGCAGAACTCGTGCACACAGTAACACACTGTAGATCTGCCGACTCCAAACAAATGAGAGATGGTCCTGTACTCAGAGTTGGTCGCAAGTTTCCACAGTGCTATGGCGATTTTTTTAGCCACAGGGACACACTCCCGGAAGTTGGTGTCGCTTCTTCCCAACGTTGCTTCCAGGCGACTACAGAGGTATTGGAAAGAGTGCTTGGACATTCGGAAATCTTGGATCCACTGCACATCGGTGTACGTTGGCACCACATTCTCCCACCAGGCCGAGGTTCTATTGTTCACCCAGAGAGAGCGCGGGACACGACGCGTCCCGTAGTATTTGCATATCTGGAACACATACAAAGGCGCAAATTAGCTCTACATAACTCCACAAATCCTACATTAGATAGTATTAATAATTTACTGAACTTACCATTGCTGTTCTTAGGGCGTGAAAACGCTCATCGTCATCAGCCATCCTACGGTGAAACATGGCAGTCATGTGTGCTTTCCGTCGGCCAATGCTTTTCCTAAGGCTTTTAAACTGCCTTTGATGCTGAAGAAACGTTGCGATTATAGCATTCGACGTGTGGCGGCTCCGGATTTGTGTCGGACGCCTAATGGCGCGTTTCCACTACAGCGCGGAGCACGGTTTAAGAGGGCTGTGACGTCAGTGGCCCGTCTTTGGTTGCGTTTCCACTTGGCCTAGTACCGGCCGGCGGGTCCTAATTCACAGTTTTTCTGGCCTCATAAAATCGTGGGTCTAGGGCCAGAGACAACGAGGCTGAGTCGGGCTGAGTATGCTAAACTAGAGAGAGCATCGCTGGCAAGGGGGCTACAACTACAACAAGATGGACATATTTGACCGTGATTTAATTGTAATACACGTTTCAAAATGATGCCGAAGTAACAACATACTGATACCGGTTAGTAAAAACCATGAATTAATGCTTTGTCAAGTCTGCAGACAGACGGCAGGCGAAAAACCTTTTAAAATGCGTGTTTTCTAAATGGAGATTGGCTAAGCTAACGCAGTATATGCTCCGACCGTCCACACTCACAACAACGGCCTATACAGACATAAATAAAGCAGCGACTGTATTCGCCATGACACAGGCAGTCTCTGGTTTGTACTTGTTTAACTTTTGTCTAGTTTCTGAACATATATGAGGAGCTGTGAGCTCTGAGTGCTAACAGCTAACGGCTGTGTTGTTTTTCTGGGGTTCTCTGAAGATCACGTCACGGCTCCGCCTACACTGCGTTACTATAGATACTACCCCAGTTCCTAAACTGTAATGGAAATGCGCCATAAAGTGAGCCAGTCCTAACGAGGCCCAGCCATACCGAGCGGGGCAGAGCGAGGCCGTGTAGTGGAAACGCGCCATAATAGGCTCAGGCTCTGGCTCAGGCCGCATTAACGAAGTTACAAAGCTGTATAACATGAGCACAAACAGCACAACTTCAGTCGACTCCATCTCCATCATGTCTGAGGTCGGAAGGTAAACAACAGACGCCTAATGTACAGCGAGTGGGTGGGCGTCGCAGTATACGCGGGAAGTTTTTCTTCTTCTTCTTCTCTTGTTTTGCAGCGGATTGCAAACAACTTTAAGGTGCATACCGCCACCTACTGTACTCGCCGTGAAGTGGTTTGTGGCCTGCCAGTAAAGCCAAAGCAGAAGAAGAAGAAGTGACGTCAGCGGCTCATTTGCGTAATCTTCCCTCAGGGAAAAGTACTCCGGTGTGAACGCGATCTGTACTAAGTGCCCTGGGGTTAAAAGCGCCGGGGCTCTTAGTGGCGGAACTAAGTACAGGAAAGTACTTGGTGTGAACGCTGGGTACAACCATAGACTGTAGGTACAACTGCCTGTCTTCGAGTGGCGAAGTCACGCCCATCTACTTCCGGTCCATGGGACCTTATTTCGGAAAAATAATGTATTGAAGTCAATGGAGAGAGAAAACTTATCTTTTGATCCCGTTTGAATTGTGCCATGAATTACACATATGATGTTTGTCAATCTTAAAAAATAATTTCCATGTCAAAAAAGTCACAGTTTGTCGTAAAACTGTTGAAATATAAGACTATGAAAAATACGCAACTAGAAAGACTACAAATCCCAGAGTCGCGTAAGTGATGTCACAATTGTTTTCCTCCACTAAGAGATAGCTAAGATCAGCGCCATATAGATAGAATCTATCTATATGGCGCTGGCTAAGATAAGATAACTTTAACAAGATGCCTGTGTGCTTCGTACCAGGTTGTTATCAAACCAGCAATGGGTCTTGCTCGTTCTTTTGCTTCCCGTCTGATGAAAGGACCAGGAGTGGCTTGATCAAGTTAGCTACCTAGCTACTAGCTAGCACGTTAGTTAACATTACAGCCATGTCATTTTTATTAGCCTTAACATGAAGTAACATTAAGTAACCCAAAATGTTAAACAGTAAGAGTAGTAGTCATATTTCGTGAACCCTTTGAAGAGTACTGTCACCGGTGTGATCATTCTATAATACACAATGTAAGCCCGGGGGAGAAATGCTAACGCTAACGGTAGCATCGGCGATCGGCGATCTTTTCGACTTCATGCTATCTGCACAAATGGTTGAAATGAAAAAGACCAGGCAGTTCAGAGAGAATCAAAGGAAGGCAGGCAGGCAGCTTTGCATGACATTCTTCTGGACGTGTTTCATTGTGGTGATAGTGAGGGTAGTCAATCGTTTTGTTGACAAGACAGTAGTGACAGCCATCTTGGTGACGTGTGTGGTTGACCAGAGATGTAGTTCATTGAGCGTTTCACACAAACAAATGTGTTACTACACAGTTTTACGACACATTTTATTTTTTTTGACTTGCAAAATTATCTTTTAAATTGACAAACATCATATGTGTAATTCGTGGCACAATTCAAACGGGATCGAAAGATAATCTTTCTCTCTCCATTGACTTCAATACATAGTTTTTCCAAAATAAGGTCCCATGGAGGTCCACCGGAAGGGGAGGGACTTCGCCACTCTATACTGGACCTTCCTTTTCCTTTCCTTTCTTCCTGGTTCTTATTATACATCCATGTACTGGACACCCACCTGGATTTCAATCCCACAATGCAATGCGTCTTCTCTAAATTTCAAAATCGTGCGACAGTAGCGCTGAAACTGATGACTAAATATGGCTAATCATAAGTGTCCAATCACTACACTATTGAGTCTACTTAAGCAGTAGGGAGGGATTTCACACACAGCCTCAGTCAAAAACATTTTATTGATGTTATCAAAACAATCACTGAGTTCAAAACTTTAAAACAGAATTGGCAGCTAGTAGAGACCTATGACCATGTGAACCCAAGTCTCATCTTGGCTTGAAGAATATTTTGTGCCTCATTAAGCCTTTTAATGTCCTGGGTGGCACCAGAGACATATTTGGGCATTTGAGCCCCAGTGTTGTCCTGAACGAGGTAGCAAGAAGTAGGACCGAGCCCTCCTCCGATCCCTTGCCCTGCCGCTTTGGAGAGAGGAAACACATTTCGCTGAGCCCCAGCCGCTGCGTTGATGAGGTCGTGAGAGTATTGTTGAAACAGGTGTTCTTCTTTAGCAATGACCTCTGCGTAGTCCTCCTGAAACTCTTGCTCCTCTTTTTTCTGCTGCTGGAGCTTGGCACCTTTTTTAGCCTATATTTGGAGGATGAAGGGGACATGTTAAAAAGGGCTATGAATCATGTAATGGTGTGGAGGAGATAGTTTTAACATTACCATTTCTGTAGCATTGAACTCATGTGCATTTCTTCCATCTGCTTTGATCTTCTGAGCCTTCATTTTTTGTTTCTCTTCAAATATTCTGTCGGCCTCTTTCATGGCCTTAAGTGTGCCCATCATGCTTTGTTTGGTTGTTTTGTCCTTCTGCTCCTTGTTTTCTTGCTAGGGAAACACAGTTTGTGAAACAGGTGAGAACCTTTTGTTACATGTAGGGCCGGTCCTGACATATTTGCTGCATTTAAACATGTTTTGGTAGAAACCGAAGTTACATGTATGAACCTGAAAATAAGCATAATATGTCCTTATTATTAGTATTAACTACTTTATAAAGAGCTTCAATGCAACCGTAGTATTTTGCAGGTGCAATATCTGAACTTGTGTTACCATGAATTCCCTGTGTGCAGTTATTGACTCCAACATGGCCGCCTTCTTCTCATCCTCCTCTCTCTTCCTTTGTGCCAGTTTTTCATCCTGCTCAGCGACAGCCTTTGCGATCCTCTGCTCCTCGTCGTCAGTTTTCTCCTGCTGAGTGACAGTCAGCTTGTTCATGGTCCACTCTCTTCGCATCTGGGCCTCACTGAAAAACGCGTCACACGTCTTAATACACAAAGGATCCAACTGCAACTGTATCACTTGAGATGTTTTGCCCGGGTCTTACCTGAACAATTGCTTTTCTTTTTCTTTCCGTAACTTTATAATTTTTTGTCTGGAAGAGAGGAACAGTTTTCTTTGCTCCTCTTCAGCCTCCTGCTTCTTTGCATTTGTTGCTCTTATGAGGTCACTGTTGGCGACGTGTTCCTGCATATACAGATTAAACATTAGGTGTCATAAATTATAAAAATACTAGATGACCTGTGCAGCTAAGGCCCTACCAGGTGACCGTGCATAAGGTTTCTCCTCAGCTTTGCTTGTCTTTCTTCTTCCATGTTTTGCTCCAAATGGTGGAGTTCTAAAAGGCGTTGGGCTTCCTCTCCGTCCTTCCTGTTCTCGATCTTCTCACGCTCTCTCACTTGCTCACGTTCCTTCATCCTAAAGAACAGGTATCATTTTCTCATGTTGCATGTGTTTGCATATCTTTGGAATGCCTATAATTTGTCTGATGTGAGACTTACTGGTTTTTCAGGTCCCCTACCACAGCCTGTCCCTCCAGCTTTTTCCGATGTGCTTTCTCCTGCTCCTGTCTCAAAGCTTCATCAATATCGGTCTTTTCCAGATCCAGAAGTTCTTTGTCGACAGCTTTGGAGGCACTCTTGATCTTTTGCTTCAGTTCAATCTGCGCCTCCCTCTCCTTGAGCACCTCAGTCAGCACGAGGGCACGCTGTGGAAGAGGTAACAATCATTAATTATCCCAAAACATCAACATACTGTATAGCCAAACATGTACAGGTGACACAATATTTCTCATGCGATACTAACGTGTAGTCCTTTAATACGGTTGGTTTCATAATAGAGCTGAGTCTTGGCTTTTTCAATGGCCTCTTCACGCTGCTGCTGCTGAAATTTGGCCTCTTCTTGATCAATCATTTTCCTTTTTTCCTCCTCAGCCTCCTCACGGTTCTTCTTTGCCTCTAACTTTTTTTGCCTTTGACCCTTTAAAAAACAATACAGTGTATTGAACTTTTTCTCTACTGTAGTAGGCTGTGCTTTTGCTGTGCAACATAATAAGCAGGTCAAAATGTAATACAGCAAATAAAATCTTTGAAACATCTGTACAGGAAACTTACAGCGATGGTATTGGACCAGAGTTTCACCACCTCCGTTGACTGCAAATGCAGGGCCTCTCTCTGTTTGGCTGCCTCCTTCATATTATCTTTGTCTTTATTAACCCGGTTCACTTCATCTTGAATCCTCTGCCAATCTCGTTTGCTTAAGACAGTGACCTGTCGGAGGTCTGGGGGTTCGATCATCCTGCTGGGTTCCTCAGCTGAAGATACTAATAAAACAAATGTAGAAATAAAACTAGAATTATATTCAAGCACCATCCCCTTTGTGGAGTATGGATAGTTGAGTACATTGCTGATTCATACTTTAAAATAGTCACATATTCCAGTAAAAGCTTTTCTCCAGAATGATATGCATATTTATTTCTTCCAAGTTAAAGTTACATTCTGTCATTACACAAGGAATTAAATAGCAGATTTTGTAATGATATTATTTATGGAGATGATGAAAATGAGGTAGGCCCTGTAAAAACTAATAATCTGATTCAAGTTATTTATGTATTGCTGCTAAATGACATGTTGTCCCAATTTAGGTGTGTTGTGTGGTGTTTCTATTTCTCTACCAGAAATATATCAAGTGATTGTTAAAACAGCTTTAAAATAGCAATTATTACACAGACCAATACAGAACTCTTAAAGTTATAATAAGTGGGCAAATACAATAATAACATTTCACAGGCTTGTCTTGTTGGTTATTTGCTTCATGGGGGAGGTTGCACTCTGGGATTTAAAATCCTGGCTCAGGCCTTGCATGTATGAGATATAAATGCATGCAAAAAATAGCACTGTGCAGTTCTCTATCAATCTACAGGAAGTTGTTTTCTGGAAAGAAGTTTGGGCATGCCTTTGGATGGATGCAATATATAACTAAACAACATGTTCTCCAAGGCCCTCCAAATGTTCTGTATTGAGTTTAAGGTCAGTATTTCAAGACTGCTCTCTCCTTGAAAAACTTATTTTTAGCCGTGACAGACAGCGTTAGGTTAGATACCTTTTGTAAAAGTAGATAAACTCTCACCTCTCTTACTGGAGCCTGTTCTTCGGCCGTGCTGGACCACCGATGCCATTGGTACTCGATATCTATAACCTAAAAAAAACACTACTCAATTGAATGTTGAAATGATTCTGTAGCTAGTGTTAAATTCAGATTACAAACGGCTCTGGTTCAGTGTCCGCATTTGTTGTTGCGGTGTATCCAGGCAACGGCTGAACTAATCAGAAGCATTTCAGCTGATGGACACCAGATGGCGCTGTGGGACCCCAACATGTAACATCACACACATCAATGTCATAGAAATATGGCCAAAAATGTTTACCCCTTTGTACTTTTAAAATCATGCAAAATATATTTTTAGGAAAATATGACTTGCTCAAGCTGTCATGGATAATCGGGAAACACAATACAATTGGACACATATGACTTCAACAGTTTACTAATTGAATTGAGTGGTAGGACATCTGTAAATGCAGATTAGTCAAACAAATTAATGTTCAATCTAGACTCCAGAACTGCTTTGCTCTTACTGTTGTTCTCCTGTTCAGGGTAATGGAGACAGGGAAACACCCCTTCACAATTCAATGACACAGATATACTGTAGGCCTACCCACTCAAACAACTGCTGTACCAATACTCATACAGATTCATCAGCATACAATCAAATCATCTGTTTTGTAAAATCTAGTGTTAAAAAAATATGTACTAGTACGACTGTGACATTCTGACAAATGTTGCATAAAATAGCACCATAGACATTAATTAAAAATCGCTTTTTAGACATGAATGTCTATGGTGAGATTCATACACGGGAGCCTTTTTAAAGCCTTTTTACCCGGGGGAGACACGGGAGATTCATGTGATTGGTTGTTGGTCGCGTTGCTCGCGTTAACTCCCCAAGCTCAAGACACGCCCACCGCCAAGCGGCAACGCACGCCGCCGTGTGTAGGCTGCGTCATACATCCATGCTCCGACCATGGATGTATAATAAGAACTGGATACAGCGTGGGAGGCGGGGCCTCATTCATTCCTATGAGAGTTGCTCATTCGCGCATGATGATAAAATGGCCCAACTTTTGATAGAGCGAAACGTCACAGATTACCCGGCATGCCTGAGAAGTACCCGTATGTGCGCTCATAGCGCATGCGCAACTTTAACCATGCCCCCCAAAATGCTCGTTCACATCAAGCACGTCAATTTGCGTACACGTAACAGCACCGCACGTTCATGACAGCATGGTAATGGTTTGTTATTATGATAGATTTGATATTAACGAGGCGGCAGTTAGCAGCTAGCGGTTAGCTAGTAATTATGCTAATTTACACATCAATCGTTATGTACTTTTATATTACGCTGTAACAGGATCTAGTGATATCCAAGCAACAGAGCTTCATTTAGCATGAAAGAATTATTGCACTGTATATATATATATATATATATGTATATATATATATACAGTGCAATAAGCTTCTTAGTGCAATAAGAAGCTACAGTGACGTTAATCGACGTCGGTAATATTAACTTTATTTAATACAACATTTACGGTACAAGATTTAAACATACAGCCCATGTAGTATAATATTTTACAAATGATGAATTACAGCAAACATGTGCAATATATCCATTATTACAGCTCCGTGGGCTGGCAGTAAGGCGATATGGGTCCGTTCTTATTGTGCATCCATGGGTAAAGGTAAACGCATGTAGTAGTGCTGAACACGTAACATGAACGTGCCGGGCGGCGCGGTCCCGTGGGTTAGATGCGCGTTCATAATGCAGAGGGAAATAACTCTCAGAATAACGTTATTAGCACATTTTTACAACTTGAGGAACGAATGTTTTTAATAAGGGCTATACAAGTGTTCATACTGGGTAGTTTATTTAGTTTAAAAAAAATTATCCAACGATTTACAGACCACTCTTTCCCCATGTAAGTCAATGGGAAAAAGTGTTTCCGGGCCTGGCAACCAAAAGGAAGTGTAGTACTGCCGTTTGGCCAGCACGAATATTTTCATCAGAGTCCGGCGCACTTCCTGGGGGCTTGGCTCCGACCCTGCAGCTTCATACTATTGACATTTCCCCATTTGTTCAATTACAGGATTTAACCATGAGATGGCGCTTCATTCACAAATACACAAAGACAACTGGGTGTTGTAGACCAGTCTGTTTGCAATGTTTGCAGCTCTGCAGTTGTGTTTGCTGAATACTGTAGCATTTAATCACTTATTTGTTATGGTTTTCACAGGCTACTATAACGAAAAAACATCAATATTTTAGATCAAATACAGTATATATAATCTTATTATCTTAATTGTAATTCAATAATATATAGTCTTTATATATTAAATAATCATAATAATAATAATGTAAATGTTTACACTTCTTTATTTTTTATACTCATACTTTTACCTTTACAATAGTTTGCTTTGATATGCAGTATATTTTTTGTAATATTGTTGTGGTGTACACAGTACAGTAGATCGAAGTAAATCAACTCATACATCATCACGTATTATACAGTAATGTATTGTATTGAAAAGGAATCTAGCTTCGATACAACCAATGTTAATATCTAGGCCGTCTCCGATACCGAACTCCGGTGCTGATAAGGCTCCGGTGAACGGCCGTCCAATCTTTTTAGGACTTCAAAACCGCCCAGAATCTACATGCAAGATCAACGTAATCTGCTTTGGTGGGCGTTTACAACGTGGCCTCTAACACCACGAAGGTTTGCAGAGCATGTGTGAAAAGAGCTTTCGTATTGCTGTGTTCAATGTGTTCCTTGTGTTTCCTGTTATTGACTGCTCAGGTCTGGACCAGAATCACGGCGGGGAGTATGCTGCGTTCGCGGCCCTTATTGAGAGGTTTGTTGAAGCGCTCAGAGACTGTCAGATCACGCCCTACATAGTGCTGAACGGAGGATCGGACATCTTAGAAAAGAAGAATGAAACCGTGATGCAGAGAGCAGTGGATCGGATCAAACGAGCGCATCGAGCGGCGCAGGACGGCCAGCGCGAGGACATCATACCGACGCTGGTGAACCTGGTGTTCCGACAGACGCTGAGGCGGCTGGACGTCCAGGTGGCTCAGTGCTATGGAGAGTAGAGATGGCAAATCCGGATCCTTTTACGGACTCAGGGTCTTCTGAGTCAGTCATTGAAGAGATCCGGATCATACGAGTCATTTGAGTCATATGAGTCAGCATCACCAAGACCGTAGAAATCCTATCGGTGAAACCGAAAAGTTGTTGCATTTCACAAGCATATTATTATTCCATATATTTTGAATATATATATATATTTGTTTATATATATATATATTATCTGCATGTATATTTTCTATTTCGACATGTATATTTTATATTTTATTTCTATTCTTGTATATTTTGTAGTTTTGTTTCATTGTAAAATGCCTTTTATGCTGCTGTAACAACAATTTCCCAATTTGGGATCAATAAAGTACTATCTATCTATCTATCTATCTATCTATTAAACTGACGTTATATTAACCTCCGCTACACAGTGTATTTTGCTTTAATAAAAAATGTTGATCACAAAAAAAAGGGTTATTTTGCGATTTGGCAAATCTGAGTCTGCTGTGGACTCGTGCATGAGGACGAGTCTGCTGGATCTCTGGATCTGCTGCTATATACGGCTCTGAGTCCGCACGAGTCTGATCCGCTGTGTGTTGCAGAACAGTGAGTCAGGATTTGCGAATCTGAGTCTGCTGTTGACTCGTACATGACGACGAGTCTGCTGGATCTCTGGATCTGCTGCTATATGGTTACGGCTCCGAGTCCGCACGAGTCTGATCCGCTGTGTGTTGCAGCGAGTCAGGATTTGCGAATCTGCGAGTCTGCGAGTGCATAGCGCGGGAGCCGGGTGCTGGAGGAGGGGCTATGCTCGTGCACATGACGAGATCGCTGGATCTGCTATGCTATTACGGGCCGTCTCCACGGCAGCGTTAAAAAAATCTTGGAGGTGGGCGTATCTGAAGCTTGAGGATTTTTTGCGAGCAACCAATCACATGAATCTCCCGCCCGCGACATACGAAGCAAAAAAGCCCGAAGTAAACTGGATATAAACTCCCCAAAACAGGCGAAAACCTACCACTGTCTCTGCCACCTCCCTCCATGCCTGGCTCCTCCGGTTTATATCCCGGTAGGTCTGGTCATAAAGCACCGGGTGATTGATTCGCTACCGCTAATTTCTCCTCCATTTTTTGGAATATGAGGAAATGACCTGCGGTATTTCTCTCCCAGCATACACGCCGTTTGATTGGCTAGAGCTTGAACTGTCAGATTTGCGTACACGGGATTTGATTGGCTGACGCTTCCACCTCAGCCTCAAAAGTTGAACATTGTTCAACTTTGGATCTTGAAAATCCTGAGAATCTCCGCTCGCCTGCCCACAATGCATTTCGGCGAAAGCGAAAAAAAGTGACGTCACCCCATTCAAAGTGAATGGGCAGAAGCGTTTCAAGATTTTTTAACGCTGCCGTGGAGACGGCCCGTTACGGTTAGGAGCCGTCGGCTCCTCTTGAGTCCCCACGAGTCTGCAGGAAGTTTCACTGATCCGCGTCCCCTCCCCTGAGCCAAACGATAACTTCTGGCAGGCAGCTATCCTGTATACTTACTAAAGGGTAGGTAGATGGACTGGGGTACGTTGTAATGTGATTTTACATGTTATAAAGAGAGTAGCGAGTGACGCAATTTATAGTTTTAATTTGTACGTCACACCAAGTGTGGGACTCAAGGACTCGGGTTAATGGAGAGGGGAGACTCGTCACGACCAGCTCATTTCTAGGATCCGGGTTAATGATCCGGATGAATCAGGACTCGCCCATCTCTAATGGAGAGGCTGACCCGGAGATCGCCGCCCTGGCCCGGGAGTGGCAGTGCCCGGTGCTTTCCGGAGACAGCGACTTCTACATCTACGACCTTCCGGAGGGGGTACTTCCAGTGGGAGGCGGTCGAGCGGAGGGGCTCCAACAGCTACATCCCCTGCAAGAGCTACTACACCCCCAGCTTCTGCATCTACTTTGAAATCCAGCGCAATATGATAGATTCTATTATACGGCTCTGGTTGTACCCAGAGCCAAGCGGGAGAAGTTCTTATGCTGCGTTCACACCGGACGCGATGCGTTACATCTTGTACTTGAGTAAAAGTACACGTACAAGAGTGTAGGGAATACTATGTTAGAAGTAAAAGTCCTACATTCAAAATGTTACTTAAGTAAAACTACAAAGCATTGGCATCAAAATAAACGTAGGCGCAGTTCCACTACAGCGCGGAGCTCGCTTTAAGCGTGCCGTGTCGTGCCGTACCCGCTTTTGGTTGCGCTTCCACTAGGCCTAGTTACGGCCCGGCCCGGCCCGGGGCCACTTTTTCACCTCTTTTCTGGCCCGACAAAATTGTGGTCCTATCGGGGCCAACAAACAGGGCTGAGTCAGGCTGAGTATGCTAAACTAGAGAGAGGAGCGCTGGCAAGAGGGCTCCAACTACAACAAGATGGACATATTTGACCGTGATTTAATTGTAATACACGTTTCAAAAATGATGCCGAAGTAACAACATACTGATACCGGTTAGTAAAAACCATGAATTAATGCTTTGTCAAGTCTGCAGACAGACGGCAGGCGAAAAACCTTTTAAAATTCGTGTTTTTCTAGATGGAGATTGGCTAAGCTAACGCAGTATATGCCCCGACCGTCCACACTCACAACGGCCTGTACAGACATAAATAAAGCAGCGACTGTATTCACCATGACACAGGCAGTCTGTGGTGTGTACTTGTTTAAGTTTTGTCGAGTTTCTGAACATATATAAGGAGCTGTGAGCTCTGAGTGCTAACAGCTAACGGCTGTGTTGTGTTTTCTGGAGTTCTCATTGAAGATGACGTCACGGCTCCGCCTACACTGCGTTACTATAGTAACTACCCCAGTTCCTAAACTGTAATGGAAGTGCAGCATGAAGTGAGTCGGCCCTGTTAAGGCCCAACGCGGCCAAGCCGTACCGAGCCGTACCGAGCGTGGCCGAGGCCGACCGTGTAGTGGAAATGCGGCATTAAAGTACCAAAAGTAAAAGTACTTCTTAAGCAGATTGGCCCATTTCAGAATAATATATATTATTTTTCTATTATAATTATTGATGCATTTACGTGTTATCAAAGCTGGTTAAGGTGCAGTTTGTATCAATTACTTTGTATTCTGCAGGGTAGAGATAAGAGATGCGAATTTTCTCCAGGTGTAACTTAAGTGTTATTTAAAAGTTGATTATATATTTCACATCATTAATCCAAATCTGTAAAGTAACTAAAGATATTAAATAAACGTAGTGGAGTAAAAGGATACGATTTACCTCTGAATTGTAGTGAAGTAGAAGTAGGCTACAGTAGCATCAAATGGATATACTCAAGTGCAAGTATCTAGAAATGTTACTTAAGTATAGTACTTAAGTAAATGTACTTAGTTACTTCTCACCTCTGGTTGTACCAAATGTATTCTAAAGAAACGTTGCCTCCATGTCCTGACCATAGGTCCTGACAGACAACTCATGTCATGAGACCATTGTTGAGTTTTGATAGAAAAAATATAACGTGTAACTTTGACACTTTTAGTACATTGTACAGTACATTTGGAGGGATTTTAGACAATCAAACACTGCTGAAGGGAGTTCATGTTCATTAGGTACAAGAGCAGTTGGTTTGGCTCCCCCCTCTGGCAATAAGTCATTACAACATGGGAGAGACCATGGCAACAGAGCAGCAGCTCAAAGTATGAAGTGGACGCACCAGATAAAAACCCCTCAGTGAGGAGGATAGGCTGAATCAGAGCAAACTCGTGAGGCATGTTTGTCTTTATGTATTTACACTCCAGCTTTAATCACAACTGAAAGTGAACATTACTTTGGATAACAAAATGTAGACACTGCAGTTGTATTATGTTATTACTGTTGATTACTTGGTTGCTATAGTTGTTTTTTAGGATGCTAAATATTTGATTGGCCTATTGTTGCATTTATTACAGAATATTAAAGCAATTGATTCAAATCCACGTTGAGCTAAACGACAGTCAGGCTCTTCTAAAAAACAACTTGCACAAAACACAAATTATACAAATGTTTTTTATGTTGTACTTACAGCATGACATTGATTTTTTTTTCTATTAAAAACAAAACAAACCAGGGTGATATTAAACCTGGCTAACAAATAGGATTACAGTTCAAGGTCATGGATGTACAAAAACAACAACAACAAAAAACTCACGGATGTACATATGTTATCTAACTATGACATGGATAAGCATGCAAGGAATTACGAGTGTTCTTTTCCGGATCGATCGTTGCTAGTAAAAATAACTTGAAGAGTAAACAAGAGATATTTGCCAAACTTGGAGACGGAACTGATCCCACAACCCAACAAAATGAAATTAAAACAAACATCGGGAGAACATTTCTTCAGGGGGAAGATGCATTATAAAGGATCTGTGTTGCAATAAAATCAGTTTGAAATTTCAGTAAAGTCAAAATATAATTTACCAATGAATCCAAAATTCAAAAAACGCCTTTTTGAAGAACCTCTGGTCATGTACAATTAAAAGAACACCTGGTCCGTACCACTAACGCAGTACATCTACTAATCTAACCCTCTAAACCAGCTGTGCAGCTTCAGCTAACCATCGCTTAGTGAGAGACACGACCAAAACAAGTCAAGTGTCGGCCATTGCAAGTTTGAGCAGTATCCAGACAGTTTTGAAATGTAGCTTTGACACACTTTTCTACAAGCGTCCCACTCTAGACGGAAAGCTGATTCTGCATACTCCAAATTTAGTGGGTGTAAGATAAGGGACAGACTGTTAAAATCTACTTCTATCCCTGTAGGATGTGATGAGCTCAGTCGCTGTCAGAGCTCGAGCTGGATTTATTCCTCTTGCTGTCGTTGCGCTCTCTGCCCTTCGTGCTATCTGGTCTCCGAGTGGCTGGGCTTCTCCCGTCTTTAGTTCTGGAGGTACTCCCTTCTCTGCGTTTGGAATCTGGACTCTTCTGACGCTTCCTCTTCTCCTCTCTGTCACTGTCTGAGCTGCTGCTACGTCTCCTCCTCTGTCTGTCGGACTCTTTGTCCTTCCTATGAGACGACCGATCTTTGCTGGTGTCTCTTTTGTTATTACTCTTGCTTCTCGAGCGCCTGCCTCTGTGGGAGTCTCTGGGTTTATTTCTGTCTGGACTCCTTGTCCGATGTTCCTTATCTCTGGAGGTTCCCCGTTTCCTATTCTCCCTCTCGCTGTTGGGCCGTCTCTCCTGACTCTTGCTACGCTCTCGGCCCCGCTCTTTGCTTTTGTCTTGTTTTTCTTCTTTGTCTTTTGAGACAGCGGGTGTGCTCCTGTCCCTGTTTCTGCTACTGGATCTATGTTCATCTTTTGAAGTGTGTCTTTCCTTGCTTTGTGACTTTGTCCTAATCTTCTCATCATTTTTACCTTTGGCATCCTCTTTAGGCTTTTTATCAGAGTCATGACTCTTATTTCTATCTTTACTGTGATCAGACTCGGACTGCTTTTCTTTCTTATTTCGGTCTTTGCTCCTCGAGCGACCTTTTCTGTCCTCACTTTTGTCTTTGTGACTCTTCTCTCTGCTTTTCGACCTCTTACTCTTCTCTCTGCTTTTACTGCGGCTTTGAGATTGATCTTTTTTCTTTGTCTTGTGTTTGCTATGCTTCTCATCCTTTTCAGCATTGTCCTTTTCTTTGCTTTTAGATCTGTGTGAACGGCTTTTCTTCTCTTTTTTACCCTCAGCTGCACGTTCATGCTTTGTGTCGGAGGTCCGTCTCTCTCTTCTAGGAGCTTTAGCAGCCTCTTCTTTGGCATCAACCATGTCGCCTCTGAAAACATACCAGATGAAATGTCACCACCTGAAGAACATGACAACTGACCTCTGGTAACACCATGAAGCTACATGACATCCGTACAATAACGTTCTTGGCTAATACAGTCATTTATCAGACACATAACTTAAGGGTTCAAAGGACATTTCTATGATTTGCTTACATAGTGCATCTTGTTCAATTACACTGATTAGCTTTGAAATCTACAGTTTAAGTGTCACAACCACCATTATCTTTACTATATTTCTGACTTGCACTTTAATATACTCGTGAATAATACAAAGTGAGGATTCTCTTACTTGTCCCCCTTTATCCAGCGCTCTCCAGGGACCGCCCTCATCCTCTGACGGTTCATCTCCTGACGCCAGTGTGGAGGAGTCTCACTGCGGCGGAAACCATCCCTGGACCTTGAGCGAGACGGAGTCCGATAGCGCTGTAGGAGGGAAATTACAAACCACTTACTTATCTTCTAAACAGACAGAAACTGACTTAAACACAGATATAGAGCGGGATATTTGTGCACATTGGCTGTGAAGAAATGAGACTAGCTAAAACTGACAGCACAATTCAATTATGGGATAAACAAGCTACTTAAAGGTAGGGTAGGTAAGAATGGAGAAAGCGGCTCGAGTTTGAAAAGTACGCAGCCGAAAAAAATCTGCCCCTTCCTTCAGACTTTCTTACAGAGCCCCTCCTCCAACACACACGAACGCGCACATGACCAATGAGGGCACGAGATGGAAGGCTGACAGGCAGGTAGGCCATCCAGTTATTTTAGCCAGGCCGGCTCAGATGATTGGTCGTGCTTTTTACAGCGCCACGGCTTCCACAGATGAAATGTTTTCATGTATTTATTGTCAAAGCATTTAATGTATTCATTGCTATCGGGATGTTAAGAGCATTCCATGGAATATAACAAAAAGTGTTTCTGAAGTGAATTACCTACACCACTTTTAATGCCCACAGTGGAAACAGCGGTTTCAGAGTTATATTAACTGTACTGTAGCTATAAATGTGTTTTGTTCTCAGTCTTCGAAAGGGGGGAGCCACTGGTCTAGCTCATCCCTTCTGCAAACGGAGGTCGATCTGGCACTGGAATAAGATTGGAAGACCACGATGGAGGAAGTCCAGTCACTTGGCAGTGCGGCCAATACAGACATTTTAGAAAACAGCATTAAAATGTTTATGGATGGGGAAATAAAATGTTTTTTGCATCACTGCGTTATTGAAGTTAAGGTATTTTTTTTCTCCATATTCGTTCTGCCACAGTAGCAAGAAACACAAGCTAAAAGCCACACATGAATTGAACTGTGAAAAAGAGCAAAACATGTTAGCCAAGCTCTTCCTATTGGTGCAGTGTACCTACCCGTGGACCCCTGCCTTTTATCTTCCTCCCGGATCTTGTCATCACAAGTCTTCTGTTATATGATGACTGAGAATTATATCTTATACCAGCACTAGGAAGAGAAAAACAAGGCATTACATTTACCGACCAAGGCATTATGTTTGGATTATAATCACAACGGCTGTTTGTGGGCAGACTCACCTCTCTCTGGGTCTTTCATCTCTACTTGGCGGATCCTTTTCAGACTCGTCTTTTGTCTTCTGGACCGCCTGGGGACTCCTCCTCATGAGGAATCGGTTCTCTGGGATGGCTGGGATATCTTCAGGACGCACAGTGGAGGTAACCAGCTCTTCTTGCTCTTTCTCTTCAGCGCTCTCAGCCTCCGACCTAGGAAAGCATTGTGGCTCAGAATCAAGACACCAAGTACCGATCACACTTTAGACGGGGAAAATGTGACAGTAAAAAAAAAAAGCTACCTTTTCTTTTCCTTCTTCTTCTGTTTCTTTTTTAGCTTTTTCGCCTTCTTTTTCTTTTTCTTAGATTCCTTCTCAGATTCTTCTGTATCCGAGGAGGATTGTGACGAGCTCTCAGAGTCGCTGGAGCTGCTGCTGCTGCTGCTAGAGCTGGAAGGCGCCCTCTCTTTCTTTTTTTCATCCTTCTTTGCTGCAATAATTAAAGAGTCTGTTAGAGGCACAGCTTTATACATTCTGAAACCTGTATATGCTCAGACAACATTTGCAGGAAAATAATATTTAAAGTGTTGGAAACTTATTTAAAAACCACTAAAAAGCTTCACAAACAAACCTTTAGATTTAGGGACGAGCTCTCCACAGTTCATAACATTCACATCAGCATACGGCCGGCTATTAGGATCTGTTTTCTGGTTCTCCATGGTTTGAACAACCTCTTGGCCAGAAATCACATGACCAAAAACCACATGGACACTGAGAAAACAATAGAGTGGTGGTGAGCATTAGCAACATTGATCTTTGTAAAACAAAGTGCACAATAAATTGAAATCAAGCTGCACTCACCCATCCAGATGTGGAGAAGGTTTTGTTGTTCTGAAGTGTTAGAGCAGGCCAATCAAGAGAAAAAGAACACATAATTATTATGAGAGAAAGAGGAAATAATGCATCAAATCTTTAATGTGTTGATAAAGTGCTCACATGAAAAACTGCGATCCATTTGTATCTTTGCCTCTATTGGCCATGGACAGCAGGTACTGCTTGTTGTGTTTAACAGCGAAGCTTTCATCTGGGGGAAAAGGAGAAGATTGTACTGCCATTTTGAAGCCAACGTCGGTTTGGATAACAACTGACAGCTCTGACAGTGGCCTCTTTACCTTCAAAAAAGCCTCCATAGATGGATTCTCCTCCTTTTCCATTTCCTATGATGTTAGAGAAAAGAGAAAACATGAGAAAGGGGGCTACAGCAGGAAAGAGATGTATGGTGGTATAAAACATTTGATGGCTGGTAGTCAGAGATTGGTTAGGTTGATGTGAAGTTTGTTGATGCATCATTATTGGATGCTGATGCCATACATTCATGTATAGCCGATAAGAATTGACAGCCTTGTGATGCTATTAACAGAGAAACTTGGAATAATTAACTATATCTTCACAGTCTTTAAATATTTGTTACTTAAATTACAAGTGTTAAAAACTAAATGCACACCCTTCTAACTTTATTAACTGACCTTCGCTGAAGTCTCCTCCTTGAATCATGAAGTCTTTTACGACTCGATGGAACAGGCATCCTTTGTAGTGCAGGGGTTTCATGGTTCCCTTTCCAAGGCCTTTTTCACCTGAATGGAACCACAGTCAATTATCAGTAATCAATATTTAACTCTGCTATGAAGTAAAAGGTTGGCATCTTCTTGTGGATAGATGTATTGTTTACCTGTGCAGAGGCATCGGAAGTTTTCACAAGTTTTGGGACAGATGTCTGAAAATAACTCAATCACAACTCTGCCAACTGTGAGAAAAACAACATTGTTAGTTTTGTTCACAGTGTTAAGACTAATGCAGTATAATACATATTAAAAACAACATTATTACAAGATGTCCTACTGAAACCCTTCTGTCCAATCCATTTATATCAATGAAGGCAGACTTATATTAGGAAACAACTTTTAGTTTACCATTTTTCAGTTCACACAAAAACTTGACAGCATAACATTTTTGGACGTAACATTTATTGTAGGTTCAAGGTTCTTTATTGTCAGGGTGGTTATATTAAAATCTATTATTCTGTAGCTGTTATTCAACAAACTGAGTGTTTATATTACTAAGTATTGGAAAATTCTTACCGAGCACATTACTAATGCCGACGTCAAGGAAGACCCGAGAGCGCGGAGTCTTGATCCCCATGATCACCTTTACTGATCAAACACCTGAAGAAGAGAAACACAGATAACATGAAGCTAACTGACAATCAGTGGTTAAATAAGTACATTTAGTTAAGTACAATTTTGAAGTTATGCACTTTACTTTAGTTCTTCCACTTTTGTCCTATACAGTACTGATAAAAGTCAGTTTCCAGAATAGAAATATTACAAAGTAGAAAGGGAATTTCCATACAACTTAAGATAGTTGGACGATTAAAATGGCGGGCATTTTCATGTGAAAATTTGCCAAAGAATTGTGACATCTGTAGTGCTAACCTCTGGACAAAATAATTCAATTATGAGGATTAATAATTAGAGTGATACTGTAGTTATAAAATAAGATTTGTTCTCGGTCTTCGAAAGGGGGGCGCCAGTAGTCTAGCACATCCCTTCTGCAAACTGAGGTCGATCTGGCACTGGAATGAGATTGGAAGACCATGATAGAGGAAGCCCAGTCACTTGGCAGTGCGATTTATTAGGCCAGAGAAGGGGGGGGGAAAGAGACGGCCGACTCGGGATTCGAACTGGCTTACAAGGAAATGAAATGTGCACACGGGTCGCCAGCTCTAACCACTGAGCTATCTAGCAACACGAGTGACTCTTACATCAGTATATAGAGATCTTTAGTTACTGGTTACTTCGCATATCCAGCTTATTAATGCATAGTACAAAAGGTCTTGCATTGTTAAAGATTACAATTCCCAGCAGTATATTATGTAAAATAGCTTTACCAGTTACAACAATGAAGTGATGCGCGCATATATGCAGCAATAATGTATGATTATTATAAAGACTTCTGAATTAGGCTTTTCTGCATTTTGAGTACTTTCACTTCCGATTACTTTGGTATATATTGATGGCGATATGTTTTTTATCTTACACAACATGCCTGCAGGACTTTTGAACCTGTAACGGAGTATTTTTACACTGTGGTTTTAGTACTATTACTTTTGTAAAAGATGCAGTTTACTCACAGTGTACTCACTTTTAGCTTATAATTGTCATTTAACAGTCAGTATTAGCTAAAAAAGAAAACTGCGTACCTATAAGGTCTGACCAGCTGAACGATTAATTGTAATACGAATAAGAACATTTGGTGCAAAGACAAACATTAGGTTTTTTCCTGAAGGATATAAAATAAACAACATAAACCTTACCGACAGTTATCGCTGATTTGACTGCTCGAATATATAAAAATAACGAGGCTAGCTATTGCTCGTTTGTTTCATAATCAGCTAGCTAACTAGCAACGCTATTGAAGTATCACTTGACCCGTGGATCCGCATTTAAAGAAACCCCTTTTCGTGTTTATCAATCAAACATGTTCACACACTCACCAATCTGGACTCTATCGTTATAGTTTCAAACACCGTCAGCCTAACGGTAGGCCTAGTGTTAGCATTAGCAACTTTACCTAGCATCCACCAGACAACATGTTACAGGTATTCCTATTACATTTCGACATATTAACTGCACACATGTCGCTAAGACGTGGTCAATGCAAAAACACATCACCTGGTAACACAAGGATATCACTCCATACAGCGAACAGCTTTCACAGACGACGAAAATTAAGTTTCATTCAGTGTTGGACTCACTGTTTTCTAAAGATGGCGCGGCAGGGACGTCAATGTATTTCAAGAAGCGTGCGCCAGTCAACGCAGACGGTCACGTATCTGAGAAACAGGGGGTAATATATGCCCTGTAACTGGTCTGTCAGGTACATGTTTCTGACATGGCTGCTTATCCACATCGCTCATGTTGGTCATTTCCATACATCAAGCAAGGAGTGGAATGACACCAAACGATTTAACCTTTCATAAAAAAAAGATACAAAAGACCCCTTCCGTCTCCCTTTAAATGCATGGCGTTAAAAGTTAGTAACCCTTTCCAGGGAAAATTGGGAATGTAACGTTTTTTTTATTTGTAAGTGATGCAGACACAAAGCACTTGTAAGCAATGTTTTAACGTTTTAACGCTGGAAAACCACCTTAGTCTAGCCGACAACTGGTTGCCTGTACAAGGGCGATTTTGAGCTCACCAGTATGCGTGAGCGGCTGCCTGAAAGGCATGACCCAGGGTATTTAAATCCCTTTGTTCCTTATGTCACTGGCTACGGAAGTGAAACATTATATCACCCATGCCGGCTAATATTGACTTTGAATAAGAGGTTTTAATGTCATATTCTATTTGTGTTAGATATGTAATGTTTGGATCTCTGCAATTTGTAGAAATATAGCAAATCATTCAGGTAACACGTGTATTTTGGCTTTGTAAGTAATGTTAGGACATATTTTCTCTATCCACGTGAATATCGCGTTAACTTAGCAACGGGTAGAGCACTGCAGTGTTGCCGTTCACTGAAGGAAAGTCATAACAATCTGTGAATGGGGCTGTCTACGAGATGAAACGCTCTGAACCTTAGGTCAGCATGTCACACTGAACTTACTTAACTGTCATGCACGTGTTTTTGCATTTGTTTTATACAATCAAAACTATTTAAGGTATTTTGATGTGTATATTTTATGTGTTTGTCTGTGTTTGTTTTGTATTCAGTGTCCACAGATCCCTGGTAGAGCACCCACCATATGCCTCCTCCAGACTGTAGTTTTGTTGTTGTGATATCAACTGGCTAAGCCTGGCTGTTGGTTTGACATTGAGATGCACAGTGTGGACTGGGTTTGTATAATGAAGTTCCCAGTGCATACTTAATTTGAGCCCGCTTCAGTGTGATGTTTAGGCTCAGGTGTGGTAGTTCCTTCCTTCGGAGGCTCCTTCATGGAGGGACAGTTAACCGAGACCAGGTTCTGCAGCAGCTGCAGGTATGCGCTGCTGAAGACCAGGTTTTGGATGTGGTGGGTAAAAACAAGGCCAAGCTTACAGTGAACCATGTCAGCACAGCTGTGGGGATGCTGTGGCAGTTTCAGAGAGAGAAGCCACAAATGCTCAGGACTGTTGAGGTCATCAGGTGCCATCCTCAATTCTTAACCCTCCGGGTTTTGGCAGAGCACAAAATTGCTCTGATGGATGATTTGACGTTGGTCGACATACTTTACAGTTTCCTCAGGTACAAGAATATATACCCTCAATCATTTTAATTTATATGTTTTTGATGTATTGTATAGACATAATAACAAACTGTTTTATTGTTCATCTTTTAGGTTGAATGTGGATGGCCATGACTCTCTTGTTCAGCAGTTAGTTTCAGAAGCATGGCTGAGAATAGACAGGTATGTTTGCATTACTTTCTTAGGTAACTATTATGGACATTGTAAATTGTAAATGTTATAAAAAGGTAAATAAGCATTTTGTTTGATACATTACCAATAATTGATATTGTCAACATTGTTTGCTGAAGTGTATAATGGTTTTAAAACGAATGAATTGTAATTCACAGACTTCCAATGGAATCCCTATCCAAGTTGTCCAAGTGTCTCAGTAATCTGTCCCTTCAAAACAGTCCGCTAATGGGCCACATCACCAGTATAGTGGATCAGAGGTTGTCGTCCATTGATAATGCCAGGTTGGTCAAGTAACACATGTTTAATGGATTATAAGTACCTTTTTATATATTGTATTAACACATTGTCATGTTTTTCCAGGATCCTGTCTTCACTGATGATCAGCATGACGTACCTGGTGTCTCCCCGGCTTCGAGATGCCCTTATTAGCAGAGCAGAAGAACTCCTGGACACCATGGATCCAGCTGAATATAACAACCCGCGGAGAATGGTGCAGTTCATGCGAAACACAAAGCACAGTTACCGGCCCCTGCTGGACAAGTGCAACAAGATTATCTTAATCAACATGTCCAGGCTGGATGCAGAAAACATCTACCTGATCATGGGGCTGTATCAAAATCTGCAGTTCAACAGCTGTGACTTCAGTCTGGCTGTCAAACCAAGACTAACAGAACTCATTGATTCAAGCACGGATCCTCACTCCTTTACCAAACTGTTTGTCGCTCTGGCTCCGATGGCCAGTCAGGAGATCAGAGACGGGTGTGTGTCATTATTAGTGGAGAGATCAGTGAGTTTAATCCAACCATTTACTGCAGTTCTTCAGTCTAATGCTTCTCCAATGTGGTGTTATCTCTTCAGGTTGGAGAACACTGCCCTCCTGTTGGCAGATGAGCTCACTCCACGTCAGGCTCTGGCTGTAGCTGAAGCTCTACAAGATATTCAGAGCAGGAATCTTAGCTTACTGAACAAGTGAGTTTATGTCTTATTATCTTAATAAGTGGAGCCAATCTATTTGCCGATATCTACTTACTGCAGATACTTTAAATGGTAAAACTGATATTAGTACAGCAATGACAAGTCTTTTAGTTAAATGTTCATTCTTTACCTCAGAAACAGGCCCATTTAGCTTTTCTCGTGCTTCTGATCGTGTCTCAATTTTCCTCTGCAGAAGAAGTTGTCATCAAATTGTAGATATCTAAATTTCGAGGTACAAGGTCTCCATTACAGTTATACATAGTTTGCCTAAAGAGCTGTGACACATTTATTTCGAATTGTCTCATATTGTTCACAGGTTTTTTGTCAAGAATCGTTATCATAATGTGGTTTATATCAATATTTAAAATGTAATTATTACACATTTATTTTCCAGAATTGCATCAGTGATCCAGAGGAACCTCCATGTCTACAAGCCAGTGGACGTCGCACGGATCACCCGAGCGCTTTTCCTGTTTAAATACCAGAACCCTGAACTCTTCGCTGAACTAAGACAGATGTTGGTCAAGTAAGTGTTTCTTTCAGCTAAGAAGGACATGTCACTTTATTATTTGATTTAATTAAACTCAGCCTGCTTCCACTTTATTTTGCAGATTTATGGTGCGCAGCGTCCGCCCCTATGAGGTGGCCATGTTGACCCGTGTTCTCTCCATGTTGCCCTGCCAGCGCCTTGAGGATGGCGTGATCTCCCGAGTAGAGGCAGTGGTGACCCAGTGCAAGCTCAAAGACCTCAGCGGCATTTCTGGTGCCGTTGCCAAGTGGTTGCGTAATGAACCCTCCTACAACACTCCCAGCAAGTATGTGCGTCTGCTGCAGACCCTGAACCGCTGCGGGCGCGAGAGGCTGCAGAAGGCCGACCGGCTGGACCTGCTGCTGGAAGAGCTCAAGTACACTAATGGAGCGTGGTTTGACGAAATGCTGCTGGATGAGACGATGGTCACACTGAAGAAGATGATGGACCAAATCCACTGGACCAATGTGCCAACGTTGTGCCTCTTTCTAACCAAAATAAATCACATCTGCCCTCCCCTGTTGGACCGTATTGCCACTGTGGCCATTAAAGACATTGACAAGGTAGGTTCCTTTATGGACATCCCCCTATGTTAACTCTGGAATAGTTAAATATATTAGGAGTACTTTTATACTTTCCTGTATTTTTTCAGATTCACCACTGGGGAATAGATGCCACCCTTCTCCCGTTCAGTGTACTGAATTATGATTCAGCAGACGAGTTGTATGATGCCTCTATTCAGTGTGTGACTGCTCATATCAGTAAGTTGATTCGTTTAGACTTTTTTATCCTTATTCTAAGCTTGCACTAATACCTTTCGTTCTCTGTCTGTAGGCTCCTTTGAACCACATATGCTAGTTCTCCTGGGGTACACTTTGGCTTTGGCCGACTATTTTCCTGAGGAACTAGTCAGAGAAATCTTCAGTATAGAGTTTTTGGGAAAGCTGGACGCCGAACTCGAAAGTAAGTCCCCTTTTAGCTTAAAAAAATGAATTCAACTTGAGATGCAAGCGCTTCCCATTTCAGGACTAATTGTTGTCCCTACTTCCTGCAGCTCTATCTGATGGCCTCACCTTGCAGACCAGACAGCGCCTCATGGAGCTGAACCGCGCCGTGTGTCTCGAGTGTCCTGAGTACAAGGTGCCGTGGTTTCATGAGAACTACTGCCAGCAGTTTCAAAAGCAAGGTATACAATGATGGAACCATTTTTGGGTTACGAAACATGGAATTCAAATGCATCTAAACTGTGAAAATGTTTATTTTTTTTCATGGAAAGTCACTGCGAGTCCTATGCAGCAGCAAATCCACAATATGCTGGGTGAGGTTCTCGGTGGCATTAACTGTGTCCGAGTAGCAGTTGTCACTCCATACTTTTACACTGTAGGTAAGTAATATTGGAGTATTTCCATCGGATAAACAGTCATTTGATGATGTTTGTCACATGTTTCTATTCTCAAAAAGTCTGCAAATGTAAAAAAAACATACTATAGGTAGCCTCTATGCTTGTATTACATTTTATTACTCATGAACAAAAGATTTAAGATAACTGTTAACTGCATGACTTTTCCATTTAATGACATTCCCCAAACTTGGCCCCAAAAAAGATATTTATTTTTATGTTATATGACCATGTCTTTGCCTTTTCAGACTTTGAATGCGTTCTAGACAAGCGCTTACAGCCGCTGCCCTACAGCGGGCCCAGCACTCTGCAGATCTTAGACAGAGGAAAGGTTTACTGGAGCTCAGAGGATACCACCAGGGATGTGCTGCCACCTGGAGCTCAGCGGTAGGGATTTATCGGAAATATAAAAGATGATAAAGTATACCACTCAGAAATTACATATGTTTGACATCCTCCTTTCTCTTATCACTCAGAGTTGCTGTGAACTTCCTTGA